TTGCATAACAGTTTGGTTTTCGCTGGAGAATCACAACTGAATCTCTCCCGTTCATGATGTTCTTTAAAGATGAACACAATGTCATCCATGTACTCTATATTAGCAAGATTCTCAACAGAAACCATCTGAACACCGGAATTCTTATGACATTCCAGCGTTTGTCTCATTACTTCATCAGCGGGGAAGTTCAACAAGAAATTGAACAGGCTTCCTGGAGCAGCAAACGGTAGTAGAGTGCTCCTCATATTTTTAGCTTAGATTTTAATTACCCTCCGCATGGAAGATGATTTTGTACTTTTTTAAGCATTTGCTGAAAACCTGAGCGTCTCAACTCTTGAACATAACCATGATTTAGCGAAAAAACGGATGACAGTATCTTTCGGTTTGTCAAATGTACCAGTGTATGACAAACAACAGTCACTGAAACAAACAAACAGAAAATGAACTGGGGATTCAAAAACTGCTCACCTCTTTGGTATCCGAAAGATGCGAGATTTTAAGCGGAACGATTTTTGGATCTGTGGCAATTTTCTGATGTTTTATAGGTTGCTTTATTGGTTATATGGCTAATCAGTGAATATAAACTCTTGATACTACGCGAGTTGATCACACAGCTCATCAGATATCCGTAGTCGCATGACAAGTTTCCATCTGAGAGCTGATAATTCGCTATCGAAGCCTTTTTCAACGGTTTAAGGCACTAACCTATGAGCTTCCACATTTATCTACCCCTTGAATTACTTAGACTTGAGTGTATAATGCATACATGTAAATCTCAGCTGCGAATTTGAATTTCTGCCTATCACAATCACGCTTCGCGCGATTGATTTTTTTGCGAATGTCTGGGTTTTATTCTTCGGCTTTAGTATTTGCTGGCTTGGCTGATTACGTGGAGCCGCTGTGGATTAGTGTGTATCTATGTATACCATCTCTTTCATTCTTCCTTCATCTTCCTTATTCCAGCACACAGTTAAAACACTCAGGGAGATTCAAGGCATATTGATTTGAAAGGCGATCTTCCAATGTTCTGACCCAACCTTGTCAGCAGTGAAAAAATTTATAGTTCCAGGAGGTGAATTCCAGGCGCCTGGCGTGCAGGGCGAGCGTTATCGCTATTCCACCAGCATGTGATGAATTCAGCTGAATGTGAATGCTACAAATATCGCAACAATCTACAGCTCATCAAAAATTTGTCCAATTTACTGGCGGTTGATCAGATGGCAGGTGATCTGTTCGCCGAGCTTGGCAGTTGGCTTGCAAACGTTTCCTCCTCATTCAACTGCGCACTGACGATGTCTCCTCGACTGAGAACGAAACGTTTGCAAGCCAGTTGCCAAGCTCGGTGAGTGGATCAACTGTCATCTGACTAACCACCAGTAAACACGTCCGAGCTACCTATATTTTGACAGTTGTCCAATTTGTTCCAAACGTTCATAACGCTACTCGGCCTATCAATACGGTGCCCATAGTTTTCGGCCAGCAGTCATTTCTGTTCCACGCATTGTCATCCGTGTGCATTTCGACCAAAGAAGCCTGCTCTTGAAACATGGCCATCCGGTGACATTTTTGACGTGATTTTATTCATTGGTTCTTATTACGCTTAAAGACCAGAATCAAGGACGGTTTTAAGTAGCCGAGTCCTGTTGAGCATTAACGTCAATTCTAAAGGCAATTATGATACATTCACATTCTTCATTAGTGGCTACGGAAAGGAGGGTTTCATGGTTTTGATTGGTAGCTGTCAAATTACGAACTAGACAAGAAGTTCGTATAATGTGGGCTGTAGCTTAACTACTATTATTTCATTTCGAAGGACTTCCACCGTACAAGAATTTTGTCCCTCGATTCCTTTTCGATCGCGACTTCAGCGGAACAATCTGTCTAATTTTCTTTTCTATTAGGACGGTATTTTTAGAGGGACAAAAAACAAAGCAGTTCCTGCATCTGATTAACAGAGAGTTTATTGCCGATGGACGTTTGGATCAACAGTGGAAATTGCAATCAGAGGGCTCGCTCCAGAAACTAAATAAATTTAACTGTATGGAGTTGCTTTACGGTCTGGTACACTAGCAGGCTATGTTTTCCTGTCACAGAGGCCAACAGGGCACACATTCTCTTTGAAGACCAGATTCAGATCAAAACGGAAAACAGAAACATTTGTGTAATGAATATGTGTGCTTATATTACAACGAGATTATGACTACTGAGAGCTCCCCAAGTAATATATCGTCGCTGTTGCCAAATGTTTCCGTCAAACCTCACCAGCTTACTTCATTTCACAGTTGTTACAAGTTAAGAAACGCTCCGTTTTCACTACCGACCAAGCTAAACGAACTATTTCCAGCGGAGATCTTGATTTGTCAGAATGTCATGGATTTCGATCGGTTTTGGGATGAGCAGTTTTTGCAGCAGATTGTTTACCTCGTGGTTTTGTTAGACTTATTGATTATGACTGTTGCATTTACCGGTATTTCCTGAGAAAAATGTCAGTTTCTCATGTTGGGGGTTCCTCTAGAGATTGCATGCAGGGGCGATGTATAAGGGGATATCTTTTGCTGACTTTATCCTCCACGATTATCATCCACCTATGTAGTGCGAAGGGCTCAGATGCCTCAGTGTTTCGAACTTGCACGACTCTATGGACATGTCACAGAACAGCCTCTATTGCTCTACAATCTTTGTTCCAGCTGCATTGGAAGTATCAAATTTGATCTAGCCTTCGACTGGTGTGGAGAAGCAGGTATTGATTTATCTCAAAGGGACGGTTCCGCGTTCACCTACTTCCTCTACATGGCTGGTGTTTCTCAACTTTACTCAGCCTATAAGAATATAGACCTCAAATAACCTCTCAACCACTAGAGACCCCAAATTTTGAAGTGCCCAGGATAATTTCACATAACATTAATCTCGACAGTTTGAACACCGTAATGCTTTTTTTGTGAACTTTACAAAACCATTGTAAGTTCGATACTCTGACAAACATCTTATCCGTTCCAACTTTCCAGGGCCATCCTTGTATTAGGATACGACTAGATTATCAATGCTCTACGATCTCCTTTGCTGCAGTTTCCCCGTCTTGCTTGCTTAACAGAACAAAGTGAGACTGATTTCCAACCATCCAGGTCGAGTGGATTCTCAATGAGCAATGCACCTCGATGCCATGGTGATCGAGTGGTTGTAAGATGGCTACTCGATGGAACTTTTCTTTTGATCTACAGGTGGCCAAGACATACAGGACATTCAGAGGCCTGTGAACATGTACGTGATGCATGGGGTCCAAAAGGAAGTTATGAAAGAACAATGCTCCTGGAGGAGGAAGGCACAGGCACCACATCATAAGGATATGTGAATCGAAAAAAGCAGATCTGTAGACCTTGATATGTGTTTGGAATACTAAGATAAAAGCAGATATGTTGGCAATTATTAATTTCAAGTACTCACGGCTGAAGTACAAGTTTTTTGAAAGCGATATTCTTATTGAACTGAATTTCGATCAAAGTAGTGTATCGAAGGAGGAGAAAATCACGTACTTCCTGAGGGTGTTTCTTATACGGAGGGTGTACTGTAACACAAAGACAGATCAATAAAGAGATTTGAGCGCATCTTCAAATCACCATTGATGACTTAAGAGGTCTGTGGATAATGTATTGTCAACTTATGAAAAAGACAAAAATGTTGAGGTATTCAAACCGTCGTTTTATTATGGATTTATAGAGATGAAAAGACCAGTGTGGCCGATTGCCGTTTTGTTATGAATACTTCGGTTGGTTGAGCTCAGCTCATTGAAGTAATGCATCTTTCTAGACAAAGGAACACAAACATGTGTATTTTGTATGTTCAGTCGAACACAAAACTGTCTGTTTTGATTCTCTTTCGTAAGAAGTGGTTGCAGATGCACAGACGTTTGAAAACGCAGGCAGACCGGCCTTTGTCGTCGTTATATCTTCTAAACTGATAAGCCATAACAATGGGAAGGGAGAGCTTTTCACGATACATTTGTCCTGGAGCCATGTCTGGACTTTATGATGGAAATGGTTTGCTGTTTGTGTGTGTGTGACAGTGTCGAACAGGGCGTTAGGAAGAAAAAACCAGTTTGGTTTAGCAGTGGTAGATGAAATTGGTTTAATGATCATATTTCTAAAACGGAGACTAGAGGTTCTGAAATGCCTCAGTATTTAGTCTGGCTGTTTCGGACATGTTTGAAGCACGACCTGAGAAAGAATATTCCGCTGAATCATATGCGGTGGAACTCCAGATCCGGCATGTACCTCCAAACATAAGCCGCCAAAAGCAGTGTTCTCCGGGCCGTTGGAGAAAACGCGTGTCTTACGACCGGTGACGCTCAGTGGGACTGACTAACAGTTACAGATGTGGCAGTCACAAGTAGTGTGATCGTCAGCCAGTCAGCACATGACGGCGGAATGTGGTTTCCCTGATTGAAGGACGAGCGCGCCATATCCTATCCGTGTACGAGTTATTATGCTGATCAGCCACTCGTAGCCGAAAGTTTTACTTCTTCAGAACACCATCCGGGAGGCTGCGGGTTCAAAACTCTGTGAAGTTTTGTGAAATGCGCACTGCTGATGATTGCCAATAAGGATGAAACTGTTGTACAGTGGTTCTAGACGTTCCGTTATGGATGGGCTTCACTTGCAGGATGAAAACTCAACGGAAAATTCCAATATCCCACCACTAACAACACAGCCTATCCTGGTTTTGCTGTGGTGACAGAGGGGAAGTGGAGAAGATGAATCGGGAGTTTAGTGGCGCTGGATGTGGGTTTTAAAACTGTCAAATGGCTTGTAGTTAATGTGTTGGCTATCAAGTCACCCTTGTGGTTATTCACTAAGAGTATTCGACCTCCTTAATTCTTTTTTTCCAGCTTGGGAGTTGAATTAGAAAGGGTAGCCATTTTTGAAAGTGTTTTACATCGCTCAGGATCAGCAATCCGGGATGTTGTGGAGATTTTGTCCCTACAGGAAACAAAGCCTTCATTCTCCACAGTTCTTGTTTTAATAACTTCAGTATTATCACATTTTTCCTACACATAACTTGTGCCCCACATAAACGTTATTATCGAGACATGTGTTAGCCGACCGTTTGATGTCACGATAACTTGGATTTTCAGTAATATTCAAGGTAAAAAACTGACCTAAAGATTGTTTTGACGCGCATGGATGAGCCGCATATTTATTCAGCGTCATCCAGCTGGACAGGCATTTGAAGTGAGAGCACCCAA